TGACATAAGTCCATCCTTGTTCAGTAGCTGGATGTAATGCAGATGCGCCGAAATGCTACTTTTCTATTGGCCGAATGGTGTCGAGATGGGTTATCGATTTATTTTTGGACGCGTCGTCGGCGTGGATTTTGTTTTCAGTTTGGACTTGGGCAGTCGCCATTAGTGTCATTAGTGTTTTCTCTAACTTTCTGTGTTTTCCACGTGTACTGTGTTTTCGTTTGTATTTTAATCTTTGTGCGTTTATTGACAATTTTGTGATTTAGTTTTAAAGACTTTTCTGTAGTTTAATTAATAGAACAATGGGAATGGGCTACTGCTTTTGTGTGATAGAAGCCAACTAACAAAATTAATAATAAAATTTTTCTCGATGTTCGTTTGTATCATGAAAGCAAAATCAGAAATAAAAGGGATGTTAATATAAGACAAAAATATACGAAACTAATTTTATTCAAAAATCAATAATTGTTAAAAGCATTATATTTAGTCTTACTATTTTAAAATAAAAAAGACATAATGTAAAGACTAAAAATAGAGACTACATAAGGCTAATTATAATGCTTACACAGTTACACACAGACTGTCTTATTGTAAATTATTATTGTTTTTTTTTCATAATATAAAAGAGTATTTACAATTAATGCAACAATGTAAATAATTATATTTTTTGTATCTAGCTTGATTTATGTATAAACTTAATATGTACGTTATATTTGTTTAATAAAAAATATGTTAATAATAAAGAATTACTTTTGTTTCATTTTAAACCAGGACTGATGTTGATTATTGATCATAAATACATGGGCAGTAAAAGAAACAATAGACAGTAAAAAATGTACTGTTATACTTTGTTTTGCTGCAATTTTTAAGTCGAGTGAAATAGATATGCAATTTGTACTACAAAGTTTTTAAGACAGTTCCTTAATTGAGGTTTTACTAAATTATTTTTTGAATTTTAAAAAAAGTGAAATAATGCAATTTGTACTACGAAGTTTTTAAGACAATTTCTTAATAATTGTGGTTTTACTAAATTATTTTTTGAATTTAAAAAAAATATCGTACCTGTGACTTTTTTTCATTCGTTTTATTTAATAATAATTGTCTAACACAACAAAGTCTACTTAGAACGATATGATATAAATATAAATGAGTTCATTAAAAAATAATCTAATTAAAATTAGTACCTAAATAAGCAAAAATTATCTCCTCATAAAACAAGAAATTAAGGAGTTCAGTAAAAGGATTGCAACTATATATTTTATTCAGTAAATTTTCATAATAGTAAGTATAAAAGCACAATCTCTAAAACGACAATATGAATAATGTATATTAAGATTTAACTCGAGTTTCAGTGAAAAAACTATATTGATATTAAAATATTTTAATACCTTCAGAATACTAATACCGCAAAATAAAACACTAAATCACCACGATACACCAAAACACTTTTACTTTTACACTGGACACGCGTTTCGCTAACCATGTTAGCATCATCAGCAGAAAAAAAGATCTAGTTTAAAATCATGTGCTGATGATGCTAAAGGTGCGTATTCATTATCCGAACGAACGAACGAATGAAAGTGCGGTATATTTAAGGTGCGTATTCATTATCCGAACGAACGAACGAACGAATGAAAGTGCGGTATATTTGGACGGGGACCGAACGCATGCGGCCGTTCGTTCGTTCGTTCGCTCGACCATCCGTTTCGAGTCGGTACATCAAAGGCGTTCGCCAACAAATGCCTCCAGTCTTCTCGTGCGGTCCCCGTCCATACCACTAGCGAACATTCGTTCGTTCGTTCGTGCGGATAATGAATACGCACCTTTAGACGGGGACCGAACGCATGCGGCCGTTCGTTCGTTCGTTCGCTCGACCATCCGTTTCGAGTCGGTACATCAAAGGCGTTCGCCAACAAATGCCTCCGGTCATCTCGTGCGGTCCTATCGTGCGGTCCCCGTCCATACCACTACCGAACATTCGTTCGTTCGTTCGTTCGGATAAAGGTGCGTATTCATTATCCGCACGAACGAACGAACGAACGAATGTTCGCTAGTGGTATGGACGGGGACCGTACGATAGGACCGCACGAGAAGACCGGAGGCATTTGTGGGCGAACGCCTTTGATGTACCGACTCGAAACGGATGGTCGAGCGAACGAACGGCCGCATGCGTTCGGTCCCCGTCTAAATATACCGCACTTTCATTCGTTCGTTCGTTCGTTCGTTCGTTCGGATAATGAATACGCACCTTAACATGGTTAGCGAAACGCGCGTCCAGTGTAAAAGTAAAAGTGTTTTGGTGTATCGTGGTGATTTAGTGTTTTATTTTGCTGTGTAACACCAAAGGTTCCAACCCTCAACTGTAATCGCCTATTATTACCTCAGGATTGTGAATCCCAAGTACTCATTTAAGGCTGAGTCTGATGATCTGGCTGATGAAATGCCGGCTGTAGGATTCGAACACACAAACTTGAGATTGGTAGACGAGAGCTGTACCTCTACGCCACCGGGCCACCTTTTTATAAGAAAAACTATAATAAAATTAAAATAAAACTGCCATTAAACGTTAAAAGCTTGAACAAATTAAAACTACTTTAATTACTATTGGCGACTAGAGCAGTTTATATTGATTTTATTCACAAAATCTAATCTAAAACTCGGTAAAAACTTCTCCCAGTCTAGTTTTCTAAGTAGTTTTATTCTAGGTTGGCAAACTTGTCCCCTAAAATGCAAAATATAAAGCTGTTCAAAACGGCAACGAACTACAATTTCCTAATTAACTACGCTCCTGGAAAATATATTTCGCAATTTAATGGAAAGAGGTTTTTAGAACTTATAGAAAGAAATAGGTAGTTTAAGTTTCTGAACGATTTTTTTTTAACAAATACAAGTAAAAAGGCGTCAATGAATTATACAGGGTCTTTCTTAATGTCTTGCTAATATTTAAGATGGTGATTCTTGAACCTATTTTAAGAAAAAAACTTCATATAAATGTGTCTCCTAAACCTCTTAATTTCTGAGATACAGATACAAATATATTTTTTCATAATAATTCTGATTTTATTACAGGTATCAAAATACAGCAACATTTTTTGACCTTCAGATTAAAACAGCCATTACAAAAAGATACAGTTTTTCCATAGAAACTGTTAAAATCGCCTTGCATCTATCAAAAATAGTACTTTAACCACAAGGGTAGATTAAATGATACTTTAACACCGAGGATAGGTTAAAAACTTTATTTCTTCGCGCACGTTTTTTAATTGCTACTACTTATTTCGTTTTGAGCCATTTCTGGCTCCAATTCAATCAGCAATCGACAAGAAAGATAATTAAAAAATATTGACTCAAAACCATAGACAAACAAATAAAAAGAGACTGACAAATGTCATGGTAAAGAGTGGGACCGCGTTCCCGTAGCGCAACTCAAAATAACAATTTTGAAACCAATTAGCAGGACCATGGCAGGACGTACGTGTTTATTGCTATCTTTCTTTATTATGTGTGCTTTATATGAAAAAGAAAGAGAAAGGTATAAAACGTATCGTAAGACATCGCACATTCTGGCTGGAGGAAAATTTAAATTAGCTATTATTAGTAGTATTCTTTCATTCTGAAACTGAAAATTTTCACTTAAACTGATTTATTCCCTATACCACGTAAAGGGAACGTGGTGTAGGGAATAAATCAGTGTAAGTGAAAATTTGCAGTTTCTTTCAGAACGAAAGAATACTACTATTATAAGGGAAATTATAAAAAAAAATTGTACTGTTTTATTAACATATTTATTTATACATAAAAATAAATAAACTTTTTATAATATAATAACAAAAAATAACAGTGTTTATTCCACCCACCTACCAACTTTAAATGCAGAAGAACTGACTGTTGCAGGAAACAATCGGCCAATTTTTTTAAAGGGCATTAAAAATCTCATTTTCGAAAAAACTGCCTAATTGCAATAACAAAGTGAATATCCAAGAAAAGAAGACTTTACGAAAATCATGATCCTGAACCATTTTCAAGTTCAGTTTTAATCCTAAAACAAAAGTAAAATAGGTATATTAATAAGGTTTCTGGCTACTGTAAACCAGTTATAATCTACCTACCCAAAAAATGAAAAAAATCAATTGTATTAATTTGTTATGTTAAGAGAGGTTCGAAATATTTTTGACACTACTACTTCTACTTTTTTCTTAATAAGATGATAAATATAACTACTTACTTTTATTTTACCGGGTGTCTTTACCATATCTCACAGAAAAAAGGGGGCACCAATACATATAAAAAATAGATGATACTGGCTCCTGCAGCAAATAAAATAACAAATAGTATAACCTAAAATTATAAGTAACAAAATATAAAAATCTATATGGAACAAAGGAATTTGTTCCCTATCCATATTCATAAGTCAACAAAATGGAGAGTTTAGAAAAAAAGGTAAATCACCAAAAGAAAAATTAACAAACATGACGAATTGTCATGATGTTGTCATCTTTGTTGTCATGATGACGAAAACGAAAGGCGATTGTTCTAATTTTTATTTAGAAATTACATTTTATATGGCTGCTTCTTTCTCTCTTGTTATATTAGAATGAGATAGTGCGCCCAATAGACAATGCGCAAATCAACATAAATAGAACGAAATTTTGCGTTCTGAGTTGCGCTACGGGAACGTTGTCCCTCTCTTTGCCATTTAATTTGCCAGTCTCTTTTTATTTGTTTGTCTATGCTCAAAACTGACAACTAAAGAGACAGCTTTATTTATTTGTGAAAGTACATAGAAACCAACGCCAATCCAGCACAATATTTTTTCTACTCGTAATAAATTCCTTTATTATTATATATTTATTATTAAGTGAAAAATATACAATAACCAAATACCAGGAAACAATTTTGGTAATTTGATTTCCTTCTGCCCTTAATTGCGTCACATAGATTAATGGATGCCTCCCCAATCAGAACATATTTTTTTTAACTGGCATATTTTTTGTGTTTTACAGGTGCAGTGTTATCCAGAACCGGATCCTTTTAATCCGTGTGAGGATCTAATGGGGAACTGGATTCTTCGTGTTCCTGTCTGGATAATTTCCCATTCAGCAGTCATAGGAAACTTATTTGTGCTAATTGTTATCGGGACGTCGCATTTCAGGTAAAATTTATAAATATTAATTTAAAAAAAAACTGGATAATTTTATTAAAATACAGGTTGTCTGTATTAGAATATTACAAGAATCTCCAACTGTTCATATAAGCAATAAACATTGAATATTTAGGGACAATTTCCTCTGCTCTATTCTAAGAAACGGCGCATCGTTATACGACCCCAATATCATTCAGCGAAAATGCTTTAATATTGTTTATCAGTAATTACATTTCCGCTACATTTCTTGCATAGCAAACACCTTATATAATCAGGGAGTGCACTTGATTCAACGAAAGTGCACTAAATTTTGAGTTAGTATTATTAGATTTGTTCTTTACAGGGTGGTCCGAATTGTATTCCGGAAACTTCGGCAGCGTATTCTGCAGATAAAAATAGTTAAAAAAGTCCTTATAAATGTACGTCCTAAAATGCTTCCTTTCAGAGATACAGGGTGTAGAAGTTTCATTTTTATTTCGATTTTTTCTAAATAATTTCTGAAGTAACGTCAATATTTGGATGAAAATTGGTGTCTGGGAGTTTTTTGACATGAGAAAGTTGATTTTGGTGTCAATATGACTCCTACTAGTAGAGGGCGCCACCTACATGTGTTTCAACTGTTTTGAAGCGTAATAACTTTTTTTCTGTACCTGTATAAAACTACCGAGTGAAAAAATATACATCTCTGTGACTTTTTACGTAAAAAATATCTCTTTGTAAAAATCGCTACGAGCAACCGTTCTTAAGATATTTAGAATGGAAATAGTCAATACATGTCATTATTGACGAAAAATAAACACGTTGAGAAGATAGTTATTTCACTAAAATAATAAATTTGGGAATTTTTTATTTTTTTGAACTAATCATAATTTTTTCTGCAAAAAATGATGATAAAACAGTTTCTATTAAACTTTTAGCACTAAAACATTTCAAATTTATGATTTCAGTCTAATAATGATTTAGTCAACATGTTTAAAATTTATGTCAATGATGACAGGTATTGATAATTTCGATTTCAAATATCTCGAAAACCATTACTCGTAACGATTTTTACCAAGAGATCTTTTTCACGTAAAAAATGTCGCAAATGTATATTTTTTCACACAGTAGTTTTATACAGGTACGGACGAAAAGTTATTACTCTTCAAACAAGTTAAAAAATATGTAGGTGGCGCCCTCTACTAGTGAGTCTCATTTTGACATCAAATTCAAATTTCTCATGTCAAAAAACTCCCAGACACCAATTTTCATCCAAATATTGACCTTACTTCAGAAATTATTTGGAAAAAATCGAAATAAAAATGAAACTTCTACACCCTGTATCTCCGAAACTAAGCATTTTTGGACATACATTTATACGAACGTTTTCACTTATTTTTATCTGCAGAATATGCTGCCGAAGTTTCCGGAATACAATTCGGACCATCCTGTATATAATTTTCATAATTTATCATGAGATATAGTTGAAATAAACTAGTTAAAACGAATTAGGGATCGCTTTGATAAATTTCGTTTAAAAAAAGAAAATATATTTATTTAACCATATAAACTTAGCAATATGTTCCTTAGAAATAATTAAGTTTGAATCAGGTGTATGCACCTTGGTGTTCGTGATGAAAAAAGTTGTCAAACAGTTGAAAATTGTATTTTTATTACGTTATGAACGACTACAGTTTGTATCGAAAACAATGCTAAACAATTTTTATCTTAATTTTCAACGGAAATATATTTTTTTCGTAATAATGTGTCTGTACCGCGCGGTTTGATGCTCCGAATAATTGACTTGAGGTTCGAGGATTCGGAATGAGACTCCGAATAATCTCTTGAGGAAAGGCGTTTCACTCCTCTCGAAGATTTTCTCCCAAGGTTTGAAGATCTGGTGCTTGTGGACGACTTCGTAGTCTTCTCTGATTAAGACTATTATTAATTAAGAATTTTTAAATTTTCAGACTGACTGTCTCCAAATTTCTCATGTGCAACTTGGCCATAGCTGACTTTTGCATCGGCATACACCTACTATTGCTTGCTGGGATTGACGCACACTCTATAGGAGCTTACTTCAACTTTGCAATCGAGTGGCAAGAAGGTAAATATTACATTAAAATAATTTATGTAATATAAAATGTAAAATAGTTTATTTAGTGTGATACACTTGAGTGAGAAAAATACCGAGTGCGTCTCAAAAGTGGCTCACCCTTATAACTTTTTTATTTTTAAACGGTTTTATTTAGCTCGACCCGTACGGTATTTATTTATTTGTTTGTTTGTTTGGGTCAAAATTAGAAATTGAAATTTAAGTACCTTCCTGTTGTCAGATTGATCTGAAATTTGGTACACACCTTTAGTTCTGATGACAATACAATATAGTAATATCAAATGAAAGGGTAGACTACTACACTAGTAGAATACACTAGTAGTACACTACACTAGTAGAATACTGTGATTATGACAAAATTTAAAATCCAAGATGGACGTCGTTACAAAATGGCGTATTAGGTGAGGGCATGAGTAGTCGTGTCCAGAACAGTTGTGTCCAAGATTGTGTGACGTTAGAAGGACAGATAAAAAAAATAGGTGATGAATTTGTGAAAATGTTGCGGTCCAACATTGACGTTACAAAAGGATTGGTAAATGGTGCTATAGGCCACATTACAGAAATTGTTTGGCCTCAGTTCCGTCGAACCCAAATGTACGAAACAGATGTACCATCAGTTTGGATTGACTTTGGCAGAGACGGCATACACGTTATACACCCGAAAGCCATACAGTTTCCAGCAAAATTCAATTATGGTACGGCTGAAAGGAGGATGTTACCCTTAATTTTGTCATGGGCATCCACCGTCCATAAAATGCAGGGCAGCACAGTCGACCATGCAGTAGTGTATTTGGGCTCAAAATTGTTTGAGGAAGGGCAAGCATACGTGGCTCTAAGTCGAGTCAAGTCTCTGGAAGGGCTATGTATTGAGGAATTAGATTGTAATAAATTATCAGGTAAAAAACCATGTAATAATGATGCACTAAATGAATTAAATAGAATGAGGAATATTCGGTAGGCATTTTCGTTAAATACTAAAAACTAGAAAATAAAAAATCGGTAAAAAAACTTTTAAGTTAAACGGTTTTATCTTATGTGCACTGAAAACTAGAAAATAATAATAACAATTAGGTATTTTGAACTTCTAGTTCAGAAATGTTTTAGTACTAGGCAGAATAACTTTTAGGCATATTAGACTAAAATAAAAACGTGGGGCCCCTCTGAAATCCTACCTATGGCAAAGCATATCTTTATACTTTGGTAGATCATGAGCTCGGCGTTCGCTGGTGAAGCCGCCACGGCTGGTTATTGATTGTCAAAATCTCCAGTTACGATTATAGTAAGTCGATGCAATCCACACTTAGTATAGAAGAAAGTATTACAGCAATAGTTAATGGGCCCCACGTTTTTATTTTAGTCTAATATGCCTAAAAGCTATTCTACCTAGTACTAAAATATTTCTGAACTAGAAGTTCAATTGTTATTATTATTTTCTAGTTTTCAGTGCACATAAGATAAAACCGTTTAACTTAAAAGTGTTTTTACCGATTTTTTATTTTAGATAAATAAACGAGATTTGGTACGTTAGTGTATGACATAAATTGGGATTGATTGACGTATTCAATTGTTTTCGGTTACTTCCTGTTTCACCGGAAATTACTACAACTTTTGATTTATAAATGGCACGCTGGGTATTTTTTTACTTTATTGGATTGAAAATGACAATCTGAATCGAAAGACATATCATATGTCACAACTTTTGACGTATTCGATCAAAAACAAATTGTATTTTAAATTTCAATCTAGAGTGCCATGACTGTGTTAAAAACACTAATTTTTAACCAAGGAGCCTTGGAAAATTGCCTTGGAATTTTTTTACGAATAATTTGATACCACACACTTGGTATTGCGAGTCGAATTGTCGTTATGAATCGCATGTTACAACTTCAAATAAACCATACGCGAAAATGTCGAAAGTTGACATATGATATGTCATTCTATTCAGAGTGTCATTTTCTATCGAATAAATTAAAAAAATATCGAGGGTGCCAATTAAAAATCAAAAGTTGTAGTCATTTCCGGTGAAACCGGAAGTGCCAGAAAACAATTGAATATGTCAATAAATCCCAATTTATGTCATATTCTAACATACCAAATCTCGTTGTTTTATATGAAAAAATATAAAAAATTATAGGGGTGAGCCACTTTTAAGACGCACCCGGTACACCAATAAACTAATGTAATATTTACAATGATTATTATTATTAACTATTTTTTGAATTCAGAAAATTATTTTTCCAGAGCTTAGCATAGTTAAAATTAATAATTTAAGTTACAGTAATGGCTTATGTCTATTAACATTTATTTTAATGATATTAAATATTGGTTAATAGAATATAATAAGCCGGATTTGATAATATTTATCGGAAACATAAATATTCGCTTACCCTAATTGATATAACTAATTTAATAGCCGTAATGCATGTTTAAGCATGCTTAAATTGGGTGTTTTTGGGATTATTAAAATAATTATTATGGTGGCAAAAAAATTTCAATATTAATTAATCGTTTATTTATCAAATTTATTTAATTAAACAAAAAAATATACACCCAGATGCAAAAAAACGCAACGGAAAAATTTTTCATCAAATTCAAAGTGTTATTTTTTTTATTTTTAGCTCTATTTTCATAAACTTTTTAGCAAACTGTATACAGGGTTGTTCACCACATACGACACGGAGAATGGTAGCTAAACGATTAGATTTTTACAAATTGTAAAATCTGGGTTCGTCGAAGGACTATTAGAGCTACAATTTAAAAATATTTTTACAAGATACAGAGTGTCCCAAATAAGTTAAAAATATTATAGTTGTATTTTTTTAAATGGAACACCCTGTATATTAATCTATTTTTAGATTCTACGATTGAAATAAAGGTAAATTTGACTAAGGTTTATCACACTTAAACCTTACCGTTTTTGAAATATTTTCAATTTTATGAAATTGCACTAAAAATTTTAAGGCTTTATTTCTCCAAGGGTATCAAAGTTTTTAATACTAAATATTTACTGAAGATTATTTATTGATCAGATATTTTGTTGCTATAATAAAAATTTTACTACCTTATACAGAGTGTTCAAAAATTTATATTAAATAATTACTAGCTTTAAACGGCAATAACTTGTTTAATTTAAATGGAACACCCTATATATTTTACATGAATCACATGCACAATGTAATTGTCTATCAAATTGTGTTATACCATTTTTTACCTATCTCTTCAAGTTTTTGTAGAAAATGCATTTTCTTATAATTTAGTACATTTATCACTATACCCATGAAATATTGACATTTTAGGTTATTTTTAAAGATGTAACAAATTTTCAAAGAGTACAGATACTAATATTATCGATATAGTTTTTTTGTTAACAAGGACCAATTAATATGATCCCGGCATTCAAACTACATTAATTGACTGTTTACGTTGATTAATAATATTTGCTCCAAATACTCAAAAACTGAATTTTGTGTGTGTATTAGACAGTGTGGTAAAAAGTAACACTTTATACATTTTATTTCATTTTTTGACGAACGCTTATTTATAAAAACAGAAACGTTCATCTTCATAACTTATTATTATATTGATTCTGAGCCAAATTCACACACACACATTTATTTAGAATACTTTATTAATTAAACTAAAACTAATTTTTGGTCGGAAATAATGGATATGTATATTTAATTGGTATACTCTTTCACAAAGATTTAAATAGTTTTTTTTGTATACCAATGGGCTTGCCATACATTTTGTACATATATGTTGCTTTAAAAAAATCTGAAATGCCAATATTCCATGGGTATAGTGATAAATGTGGTCTAAATTATAAGAAAATGCATTTTCTACGAAAACTTGAAGAGATGGGTAAAAATGGTATAATACAATTTGATAGACAATTATATTGTGCATCTGATTCACCTAAAATATATAGGGTGTTCTATTTAAATTAAACAAGTTATTGCCGTTTAAAGCTAGTAATTATTTAATATACATTTTTGGACACTCTGTATAAGGTAGTAAAATTTTTATTATTGCAACACAATATCTGACCAATAAATAATCGTCAGTAAATATTTAGTATTAAAAACTTTGATATCCTTGGAGAAATAAAGCCTTAAAATTTTTACTGCAATTTCATAAAATTGAAAATATTTAAAAAACGGTAAGGTTTAAGTGTGATAAATCTTAATCAAATTTACCTTTATTTCAATCGTAGAATCCAAAAATAGAATAATATACAGGGTGTTCCATTTAAAAAAAATACAACTATAATATTTTTTACTTATTTGGTACACTCTGTATCTTGTAAAAATATTTTTAAATTGTAGCTCTAGTAGTCCTTCAACGAACCCAAAACTTAAATTTATAAAAATCTTATCGTTTAGCTACAATATTCCGTGTCGTATGTGGTGAACAACCCTGTATAAATCTATCAACTTTAATTCAAAAACTCAGTTATTTGGCTTATTATAATTATAATGTTAATTGAAGGTTTGTTGTTTAATTTTAAAACACCCTGTGCAATAATTTCGTGAGTAACTTGCCCTAAAACATTATTTTTCGATTAGAACCGTGTCTCCCAGTGCGGCTCGTAGGTTTTATTTCACATTTTTTTATATTTTAAGTCAATGCTGCGTTCTTTCTCTAAACGTTTTTCGAAGTTTAAGCAGTTGTTTTCTTTTAACCGCACGATTTCACATACTAAACACCATGTTGTCTATTTTAAAATATCTATTCCAGAATCAGTCAACCACAGTTTATTATTTATCCTTAACCAGAAAATTATGAATAATTATTACCTATACAAATTTCGCGCGACACCTCAAACTAGATGGGATTTCTTTCGATATTAAAAATTTAAATATTGCTGTATACTGACTAAATCAAACATTATACGCGAAAAACGATACAAAAACTTAGGCTGTTTTATAATTTGAGTTTTTAGAAACACCCAAACTGCCCAAACGGCGAAATTTTTCCAACGACTGAAATCC